TTTCCCATGTGAGAGAAACCATATGTTTGAACTTCTGTATTTTAGTTATTACACTATATTCTCAAGTTGCATCCGTTTACCTATAAATGCGTCAAGTTTATCTTTTTGTTTGCTTGTTTTGTTTTTGGCAGAACCGGGAATTGAACTCAGATGCTTGTGCTTGCCAGGGAAGCACTTACTCCACTGAGCCATCTCCCGGCCCCTCGTCAAGTTTATCTTTAGGGCAGGATAGTACTCTACCATGTATAAATATTGGGTTTGCCTAGCCATTCATCTGTTAATGGACATGCATGCTGTTTCCAAGATCTAATATATATAGTGCTGCTATAAAAACATGCTATGCATGTATCTCTGTAATCCTGTGATTTTAACCCTTTTAGGAAAATACTTAATGAGGGGATAGCTGGGTCAAATGGAATTTCTACTTTTAGTTTTTGAGGATCTCCACACTGATTTCCATAGCGCCTCTACTAGTTTACATTCCCACCAAGAACACATCCTCGCCAGAATTTATTATTTTTTGATAATAATTATTCTTTCTGTATTTCAGTGTAGTTTTTATTTTCATTTCCTGATGGCCAGCGATGATGAGCATTTTATTTGCTATTTGTAATTCTGAGAAATGCCTATTCACTTGGTTGCCCATTTTTTAGCTGGGTCTTTTGCTTTTTATTTTCTTTATTGTTCTAGCCTAAGAACTGAGGACATGCCTACAGTGGAGGGTGCTCCACAGGCGTTTGGTATCAAATGAATTGTAGGCAATCTGTACTACAGAACACAACACCATGAAAAGTTGGAAGACAGACACTAGATAAAATGTTGGTTCGTAGTGAAATAAGATTTGATCATCTTCCCTAATCGTGTCAAATTAAAAAAAAAAAAACCTCCCATGTTTTTATTGTGACATAAGTTTTACTGTCTTGTGAGATGTTTTGGATGTCTGGGAAAACATAAAGCCTTCACTTAGTCATCAGATGAATCTCATCATATTTTCCAAGTGTTATCCTGGATCCAACTCAACTAAGTTATGGGGAGAAAGTAGATTTTACCCTAAAATAGAGGACAAACACCAGGTCCTGAGTGGGCTCCGAGCCTCCAAATTCTACAGTTGTGACATGTAACGCCAAAGGAAAATACGAAGCTGGTAAATATGTTATTGGAAGTAGTGACAAAGAAAAAGAATTTGTAATATGCTAACATCAAATTTATCTTAAATAAGTCACAGAAGCTCTATTTCCTGTTTTGCCTCCACTATTTCCTGCATCAGAAAGATTCTAGGGTCAGGGAGATGGCTCAGTAGACCCTGGCAAGCGCTAGGGCCTGAGTTCAATCCCGGGTTCCACCAAAAAAAAAAAAAAAAAAGATATTCTCTACAGTTGGGCATGGTGGAGCATGCCTGTGATTCCAGCACTGGGTAGGCTGAGGCAGGAGGATCGCCTGGGGTTTGAGGCCAGCCTGGTCTACATACTGAATTCCAGGACAGCTTGAATGGCTTAGCAAGATCCAGCCCCCAAAACAAAGGCAACAGAAAAAGATGCTCTCCCTGGTACACCCGAGAGGATTCACTCTTCTCGTTTTAAGTAACAGTGAAGGGAACAATGTTGTCACAGAAGGTTTCTGGATTTCTGGCTGCTGCCCCGGCCCGGGCGTCGCAGTCCTCGAACCCCGCGGTACTTATTCGCATTCTGCCCGACGCTGGGGGCCCGAATCCGCCAGCCCCGCGGTCTGCGAGGGCGGGCAGGCGTCTGCGGGGGCCAGCGCCGCCCGGGAGGTGCCGGGGCGCTCTGCGGTGAGAGGGCCCCCCGAGGGGGACGCGGCCACCCTCTCGTGCCCGGACCGCCCGCTCGCACCCGCGCGCCGGCCAGGCTGGTCTTCCAGACGTGTGCGACGGCGGCCGCCA